AGGAGGACCCGAGCTATGACAACCAACACGCGCTCCAACCGTCCGAATCGCACACGCACCGCCCGACGCGGGCTCGCCATGATGCTCGCGCTCGTCGCCGTCGCCGTGGGCACCGTCATCGCCGCCGCGGCGCTGACGATGAACGACAACGCCTCGCAGATCGGCAAGAACGCCGTCGCGCACACGTCCAGCGAGTGGTCGGCCTTCGCCGCCTCCGAGCTGGTGGTGGCGGCGATGCAGACGGAGACGAACTGGCGCGACCTGATCACCAACGGCGTCCTGCTGGACGACTGGACCATCGCGGACGCGACCGTGGACGTCCAGGTGACCAACCTCGAGGGCGGCGCCGTGAGCGAGGCGGACCGCGAGGTCCTGCTCACCGTCGTCGCGGACGTGAACGGCGTCCGGACCGTCGTCGAGAAGCAGGTCAGCCTCGCGCCGATCTCCACGTTCGGCAACGAGATCGACAGCTCACTGGGCGAGTTCGCCATCTTCGCGTGCGAGAAAATTCGGATCGACGGCGGGTCGAGCCTCCGCGTCTGGTCGCAGAGCCCGGAATCAAAGCTCCGGCCCGAGGTCAAGATCGGAACGCTCGCGCTCAGCTCGAACGATATCGATATCGACGAAGCGGCGATCCTGAAAAATGTTCATCTGTACGTCATCGAGCCCGCGAGCGCCGGTGTCCGAGGCATGGTCGGCGCTTCGGCGTTTGCCGGCGGCGCCGTCCTGCCGGACATCATCCCCTGCCTCTCAACGAGAACGACCGACGCCGACGCGTCGCACACCGAGATTAGCTCCAAGCTGGAGTGGAACTCCGGGACGGGCGACTACATGGCCGCCGGCGCCCGGTTCGACGAGCTGAGCGTCGTCGGGGGATCCACGTTCCGCTTGAACGGCGCTTCGGTGGACCACGTCGTTGTCGGCAAGCTCTCCGTCGACGCCGGCTCCAGGCTCCTGATCGAGGGCAACGTGCGTCTGGTCGTCGAGGGCGACCTGACTTTCGAAGACGGCTCGGTCCTTGAGCTCGGCTCAGGTGCCTCGCTCAGGGTGCTCGTCGGCAGGAACCTCGCCATCAAGGATTCTGTCATCGGCGGCAATACCACGCTCGCGTCCGACCCGACACGCTCCGTCGCGGATCTCGAACCGATCGACTCGAGGCGGCTCGTTTTCCAATCGATCTCGGAACTCGACGGGGGCAAATCGCCCAGCAACTGGTTGGTCGACAACAACTCGGTCCTCGCGTGCGCCTTCCACGCGCCGGACGCGGACGTCACGATTAAAGGCGGGTCCGCGCTCGTCGGGCGTGTGACGGCGAGGCGGTTCGATCTCACGGAGAACGCCGCGCTGCTCTACGAGCCCCGGTTCGACAACCGCATGGGCTTCACGGACCCGAAGAGCCCGATGTACGACGAGAGCGGCGACCTCCGCCCCGAGTACGAGCCGACGGTCTACTTCATGAAGACGATCGGCGAATCGGATACGAACGACATGTCCACCGCGGAAAAGATGCTCCTCAAGCAGTACTTCGCCGCGTCCGACCAGGGGGCGTTCATGCGCGAGGTGACGAGCGTCCTGCTCGAGACCGACCTCCGCCGAACCGGTGACGACGTCGAGAACCCGTTCACGGTGATCGCCACCGAGCTCTACGCCGGCGGTCGGAACTACCCCGATACGCGAGATGCGGTGGACGATCTCATGGACGATATCGCCCCCTCGAACACGGTCAACATCGACGACATGCTCACGAGCGACGAGGGGTTCGTCGACGGGCTGAGCGAACTGGCGAAGACCATCCTCGGCGTGCTCAAGGGGCCGAAGCCCGCGGGCGATGAAGTGGAGGTCGACGACCCCAAGATCGACGCCCTCGGCCCGGACCTCGACGGCAACTTCACCGTCCGACGCGCCGGCAAGGCGCGGGCGCGGAGCATCGAGGAGCTCTACGCGGAGATCGAGGAGGACTCATGATCCGGCGCGCCTTCACACTCATCGAGATGATGATCGTCGTGCTCCTCATGGCGATCGTGGCAGTCGTCGTCCTGCCCAACGCCTCGGCCGACGGCACGGTGCGGCTCGTCAGCGCCGTGAACATGGTCGTCGCGGACATCGAGTACGCCCAGTCGCTCTCGCTCGCCGAGCCGAGCGACCCGGCGCTGGTCCGCGTCGACGAGGTCGCCGGCGCGTACTGGATCGCGCGATCGTCCGACCCCGCGACGCCCGTGAACCGCCCCAACGGCGAGCCGTACCTCGTCACCTACGGGTCCGACCCGGGGGTGGACCTGCTCGGCGTGACGGTGGACCTGGAAGACGAGGCGAAGGACATCCTGTACGACGAGTTCGGGCGCCTCAGCGCGGTGGGGGAGCGGGTGCTCCTGGTGAGCTCCGCGATCAGCGGGACGATGCGGATCCGCGTCAAAGCGGAGACCGGGTCGGTCTACATCGACCCTGACGACTCGTAAACCGCGATCCCGGGCGTCCGGACGCGAAAGATTCCCCGCCCGTTCGGGCGGCGTGCGTCTTTCACCGGCCCCCTCTTGGCTTTACACTTGATCTGTTCGTGACTCGGCGCTCCGATCGGAGGCGCAGTGGGACGGGGCGGGGGCCTCCGGTCGAACGAGCCGCCGGGCTCACGGTGGTCCGACCGTGTCCCTCCCGCCCGAGCGCACGACACATCGCTCGATCGGGCGCACGGCGTTCCCGGGCGAGCCGGCGAAGCTCCATTCGTCCCGCACAACTGCCCGGGCGGCTCGTGCGTTGTGAAGAACAGGAGCGTCACCATGCCCAGAAGCGAAACCGCCAACCTCCGGAACATTGCCCTGGCCGGTCATGCCGGCTCGGGCAAGACGACCCTCGTGGAGACGATCCTCCACACCGTGGGTCTGCTTGGCCGAGCCGGCACGATCGAGGAAGGCAACACGGTCTGCGACTTCGAGCCCGAGGAGAAGGAGCACCAGCACTCGCTCAACTCGGCGCTCGTGAACTTCGACCACGAGGGCAAGCACTTCAACCTCATCGACACCCCGGGCATGCCGGACTTCGTCGGCCAGGCGATCAGCGCGTTCCCCGCCGTCGGCTCGGTCGCCGTCGTCATCGGGGCCGACAAGGGCATCCAGACGGTCACGCGGCGCGTGATGCGCACCGCCAAGGAGCGCAACTTCCCGCGCTTCATCATCATCAACAAGATCGACGACCACGTCGACGACCTCGAGGGGCTGCTGAACACGATCCGCGAGACGTTCGGCACCGAGTGCATCCCGATCAACCTGCCCACGCCGGACGGCTCGGACGTGATCGACGTCTGGGAGAAATCCGAGGGTGAGGTCGCGTTCAGCTCCGTCGCCGATGCGCACACGGCGCTCGTCGACCAGTGCGTCGAGGTCGACGAGGACCTCATGAGCGTCTACCTCGAGCAGGGGAGCCTCACCGCCGAGCAGCTGCACGACGCGTTCGAGAAGTCCCTCCGCGAGGCGCACCTCGTCCCCGTGTGCTTCTGCAGCGCCAAGACCGGCGCGGGCATCGACGACCTGCTCCACATCATGGCGAACCTCTGCCCCAACCCCGCCGAGGGCAACCCGCGCCCCTTCGAACTCACGAAGGACGACGGCACGAAAGAAGAGTGGCACGCCGAGCCGGACGCGTCCAAGCCCGTCGTGGCGCACGTGTTCAAGGTCACGACGGACCAGTTCGTCGGCAAGCTCGCGATGATCAAGGTGCACCAGGGCACCATCAAGACGAACGACACGCTCGTGCTGGGCGACGAGAAGAAGCCCGTCCGCATCGGGCACCTGCTCAAGATCCACGGGAAGGAGCACGAGGAGGTCGCCGAGGCGGTGCCGGGGGACATCATCGGCCTCGCGAAGCTCGAGGAGCTGCACCTCAACACGGTGCTCCACACGCACGACACAGACGGCCTGCATTACAAGCCGATCGAGCTGCCCAAGCCGATGTACGGGCTCGCGGTGAAGGCGAAGAGCCGCAACGACGACACGAAGATCGGAACGGCGCTGAACAAGATGATGGAGGAGGACCCGACGTTCATCGTCGAGCGCGTCAAGGCGACGGGTCAGACCGTCGCCCGCGCGATGGGCATGCTCCACATGCGCGTGATCATGGAGAAGCTCAAGAGCCGGTTCAAGCTCGAGCTCGACACCGAGCCCCCGCGCGTCGCCTACAAGGAGACCATCTCCGGCAAGGGCGAGGGCCACCACCGCCACAAGAAGCAGACCGGCGGCTCCGGGCAGTTCGGCGAGGTCTACCTCCGCGTCGAGCCCCTCCCGAACGACGCGAGCGTCAACGGCGCCGGCTACGAGTTCGTCGACGACACCTTCGGCGGCTCCGTGCCCAAGCAGTTCATGCCCGCGATCGAGAAGGGCATCCGCCAGGCGCTGAGCGAGGGCGTCATCGCCGGCTACCCGATGACCGGCGTCCGCGTGAGCGTCTACGACGGCAAGCACCACCCGGTGGATTCCAAGGAGGTCGCGTTCGTCACCGCCGGCAAGCGCGCCTTCCGCGACGCCGTCGAGAAGGCGCGGCCCGTCCTCCTCGAGCCGATCTGCGACGTCGAGATCACCGCCCCCACCAGCGCGCTGGGCGACATCAACTCGGATATCTCCGGCAAGCGCGGCCAGGTCCTCAGCTCGGACATGCTCCCGGGCGACACGTGCCACATCCACGCCAAGGTCCCCCTCGCCGAGATGGCGAACTTCACGAGCGAGCTGAAGTCCATCACCGGCGGGCAGGGCTCGTTCTCGATGGACTACTCCCACGACTCGCCGACCCCGCCCAACGTGCAGGCGACGATCGTCGCCTCGTACGAGCGCAAGGACGAGGAAGACTGACCCCCGGCTTCACCCCCCCGGATTCACGGGCGACGACCGGGTCCCGGGGGCCATCGCGGGCTTCCTCGGGCTCCGGCCGGATCCGATGCCATACAATGACCGTATCGAACAGACGGGGCGGCCACGAGTCGCCCCGTTTTTTGTTTGCCCCCACAGGAGACCCGCATGATCGCCCGCACGCTCGCCCAGGCCCTGCTCGCGCTGCTCGTCGCGGCCGTCCCCGCACCGGCGCAGGACGCCCCGGCGAGCGACACGCTCACGATCGACGCCTCCGAGCAGGTGGACCCGCAAGGCCTGAAGCACCTGCGGATGGTCCTGCGCGTCCTGCGGGGGGAGACGATCGAGTTCGACCCCAACGGCTTCACCCCCACGCTCCGCGAGCGGACGCCCGTGATCGAGCTCCAGCGGGCGCTGGAACAGCTCGCGCACAACAGCGGCGGCTACGTGAACCTCGGCATCATCGACCACGGCCCAGGCATCATCACCACGGTCGTCCGCTCCCACGACAGCCAGGCCCGGGCGCGGCTCAGCATCACCTACGAGACCGGCGGGGCGTTCCGCATCGACGGCATCCTCGTCCACCCGGACCTCCCGACCTTCGATTCCTGGGCCCAGTTCACCGAGGCGCTGGACGCCTTCGGCCTCGACGCCTCCGTCTCCCTCGCCGAGATCCTGGAAGACGGCTCGGCCGAGACGCTGTTCACCTACCACGAGGACCGCTCGCTCGCCGTGGCGTACCACGCGCGGCTCTTCGTGCTCGACGCGCTGGTGCGCCGGATCGATTCGGGCGAGGCGGACTGGCTCGACACGGTCGTGATCCGCGAAGAGCTCAAGACCTTCCCCCCCGGCTCGACGGCGACCGAGCCCGCCGGCGGCGCGCTGCCGATCTCCAGGCTTACCCAGCGGATGATCGTCGAGACCGACCACACCGCGACGGACCACCTCATCGACCACCTCGGGCGCGACGCGGTCGAGGACGCGGTCCGCGACCGCGTGCGCCGCGTCGCGCGCAACATCCCCTTCCTCTTCACGCGCGAGGCCTTTAACCTGCGGCTCATCCTCACCGAGACGTTCATCGAGCAGTGGGCCGAGAGCGACGACGACGAGCAGCGCGACATGCTCCCCACGATCGACCGCATCGAGGTCGCCGACGTCGTCTACCAGACCTGGCGGCTCCCGGTCGCCGTCCCCGTCGTCGGCTGGTTCGCCAGCGCCAAGGAGATGAACGACCTGTTCTCATCCCTCTACACCTCCGGCACCAACCCGCGCCATGTCACGCTGGGCGGCGTCGTCAACGAGCTGCCCCCCGCGCCCGTCGACCCCACGGTGTGGGTCAGCTCCAAGGTGCTCACCTCCATCGAACCGGGGATCGTCGCCACCACGTGGCTCCTCGCGCACCGCGACGGGCGCAGGTATGTCCTCACAGGCGTTTTCAACAGCCCGAGCCAGCCCATCCCGGCCGACCAGGTCGGTGCGCTGCTCATCGCGGCCGCGGAGACGCTCGGTCGCACGCCCCCGCGCGTCGAGGACGAGCCGGTCCCGGGCGGCGAGAGCGGGGCGGCGCCCGAGTGATCGCCCGCGCCCGGCGCGGGTGACCTACAATCACGGCCTATGTCACGACGCGTGGTGATCACCGGCGCCGGCGCGGTGACGGGCTTCGGCCCGGGCATCGAGCCGCTGTTCAACGCCCTGCTGGAGGGGCGCTCCTCCATCGGCCCCATGACGTGCGTCTCGCCGGGCGGGTTCCCCTGCCAGGTGGCGGCGGAGGTCCGCGATTTCAAGGCGCGCGACTACGTCCCCAAGCACTACCGCAAGGCCGTGAAGGTCATGGCCCGCGACATCGAGCTCGCCGTCGGCGCGGCGCTCGAGGCCGTGCGGAACGCCGGGCTCGTCACCAAGGGCACAAACGAGGACGAGAGCGCCGAGGTCACGTACGCGCCCCAGCGCGTCGGGTGCCACATCGGCGCCGGGCTCATCGCGGCGGACGTCAACGAGCTCGCCTACGCGATGGTCACGTCGTCCGACGGCGCGGGCCAGATCTCCTACGACGCCTGGGGCGAGACCGGCATGGGCAACCTCACGCCCCTCTGGCTCCTCAAGTACCTGCCCAACATGCTCGCGTGCCACGTCACGATCATCCACGACGCGCGCGGGCCCTCGAACACCATCACCTGCTCCGAGGCGTCGGGCATCCTCTCGCTTGGCGAGTCGCTCCGCGTCATCCAGCGCGGGGACGCGGAGATGTGCTACTCGGGCAGCGCCGAATCCAAGCTCAACCACACCGGGCTCGTGCGGATGCAGTTCGCCGAGCTCCTCGCGCCGATCGCGCTGGACGATTTCGAGGAGAGCGACCCCGCGTCGTACTACGCGCCGTACACGGACAACGCGCGGGGCGGCGTGCCCGGGGAAGCGGGGGGGATCCTGATCCTCGAAGAGCTGCAGAGCGCGACGGAGCGAGGCGCGACGCCCATGGCGGAGGTCGTCGGCTTCGGCGCGGGGCACGCGCCGGCGAGCGACGACCCTTCTGAGCGCGCCCGGGGGCTCGCCACCGCCATCCGAACCGCGTTGAAGGACGCGAGCCTCGAACCCGGCGCGATCTCGGCGGTCCTCCCGCACGCCTCGTCGGTCAAGAAACAGGACGAAGAGGAAATGGCCGCGCTGCGAGCGGTGTTCGGGAACGATTTGGATGCGGTCCCCCTCGTGCCCGTCGTGCAGGCCATCGGCGAGACGATGGCGGGCGGCGGCTCCGTCGCGTGCGCCGTCGGCGCGATGATGCTCCGCGAACAGAAAACGCCCAAACGCACCATCGGCGACGCTCCGGGGGGCGCGCTAGAGCACGTGCTCGTGTGCACCAATTCGATCGCCGGTCAGAACGCGGCGCTCGTCCTGAAAAAGGTGTGAACCCCGCGGCTGGACACGCACCGGGGCCGAGCCATTAGAATCATCCCAAGACGTTCCGGGGGAAACGACCGAACGTCATCGGCACGCTACCTCACGCCTCACGCCCAACCGGAGACAACACGATGACCGACCGACGCCCGACCCTCCGCAACGACGAACTCGACCCGGCGCTCACCGAGGTGAGCCGATCGGTCATCGGGTGCGCCATCGAGATCCACAAGGCCATCGGCCCGGGCTTCGACGAGGGCGTCTACGAGAAGGCGCTCAGCGCCGAGCTCGACGCCGAGGGCGTCGACCACAAGCTGGGCCACGACTTCACCATCGAGTACCGGGGCAAGGAGATCGGCACGCACCGCGTCTCTCTGTTTGTCGACGATCGATTCGTCGTGCAGGTGCTCGCGGACGACCGCGAGGTCGACGGCTTCGACCGCGCCGCGCTGCGGTCCCAGCTCCGCGCCGCGGACCTGGAGCTCGGGCTCATCATCAACTTCCACCGCCGCCGCCTCAAGGACGGCGGCCTCGTCCGCGTGCTCAACCCCGACAAGCTCGAGGAGCTCCGCGGCTCGCACGACGAGGAAGAGTACGAAGACGCCGAGGTCTGAGACGCTCGTGACGCTCGAACCCAACGGACAACGCGTGGTCATCACGGGGATGGGGTGGGTCACCCCCCTCGGGACCGATCTGGACGGCGTGTGGCGCCGCCTGCTCGCGGGCGAGTGCGCCATCGCGCCCGTCTCGCGCTACCGCGCCGACAAATTCGCGACCAACTTCGCCGCCCAGGCGGAGATCCCCTCGCTCGACGGCGTGCTCTACAACGCCGAGTCCCACGCCACGGCCCAGCCGCACGCGCTGTTCGCGCTCCGCGCCACCGCCTCCGCGTGGAAGCAGGCGGGGCTGGGTGATCCCGCCTCCGCCGGGACGCTGCTCTCGAAGGACTCCGGCGTCGCGCCGGAGCGCATCGGCGTCTACCTCGGCGCCGGCGAGGGCGTCCCGGACTTCGAGCGCCTCGCGCAGGTCAACCTCGAGAGCTGGGCGGAGGACCGACGCGCGGTGGACGACGCGAAGTGGGCCGAGCGGGCCCTCGCGCTGCTCACCCCGCACAAGGAATTCGAGCAGGAGCCGAACATCGCCGTCTCGCGCGTCGCGCGCACGTTCGGCGCGATCGGCCCGGCCCTCAATTGCATGACCGCGTGCGCCGCCTCGACGCAGTCCGTCGGCGAGGCCGCGGCCCTGATCCGCCGGGGCGACGCCGACGTGATGATCGCCGGCGGCGCGCACTCGATGATCCACCCGCTCGGGATGACCGGGTTCATCCGCCTCACCGCGATGAGCACGCGGACGGACGACCCGGCGCACGCCGCGAGGCCCTTCGACTCCACGCGCGACGGCTTCGTCATGGGCGAGGGCGCGGGCATCGTGATCCTCGAATCGCTCGAGTCCGCTCGGCGTCGCGGCGCCACGCCCCTCGCGGAGGTCGCCGGCTTCGGCTCCTCCGCGGACGCGTACCGCATCACGGACATCCAGCCCGAGGGCGAGGGCGCCCAGGCCGCGATCCGCCAGGCGCTCACCCAGGCCGGCCTCACCCCCGAGCAGACGGACGAATCCGGCCGCCCCGCGGTGCACTACATCTCCGCGCACGGGACGGGCACGAAGGAGAACGACTCCATCGAGACCCGCGCCGTGAAGGCGGTCTTCGGCGACCTCGCGCCGAAGATCCCGTTCAGCTCCGTGAAGTCCATGATGGGCCACCTCATCCAGGCGGCGGGCACCGTCGAGCTCATGACCTGCATCAAGGCGATCGAGACCGGCTGGGTCCCGCCGACGATCAACCTCAACGCGCCGGACCCCGTGTGCGAGCTGGACTACGTGCCCAACGAAGCACGCGACTACACCGCGCAGGGCGGCGTGCACGCGGCCCTGTCCAACGGCTTCGGCTTCGGCGGGCAGAACAACACGCTCCTCGTCCGGCGCTTCACCGCATGAACGCCCCCGCGCCACCCCCGCCCGGCGCGCCGCCCGTAAAGAACAGGAAGTCCCTCCTCGTGCGCCTCGCGATCGCGTCCGCGGTGCTCTTCGCGCTCGGGATCGTTGGCCTCGTCGCCGCGGGGTGGTACGCGAGCAAGCTCATGCGCGAGGAGCCCGCGTGGTGGGCGGGCGCGGACGTGTCCCAGATCGAGGACGCCCCGCGCCGCGCGCGCCTGCTCGAGCAGGGCGTCACCACCGCGCTGCACGAGCCGCGCGAGAGCGACGAGCCGTGGTCCGTCCGCATGACCGACGACGACGTGAACGCCTGGCTCGAGCACCGCCTCGGGTCGTGGCTCGAGAACCGGTCGATGGACCTCCCCTCCGATTTCAACGCCCCGCGCGTCCGCGTCGAGGGCGGGCGCGTGACCGTCGGGTTCAAGTCGCCCGACCCGCGCATCCCGGGTGTGCTCGCGGTGGAATTCACGCCCGAGCTCACCGAAAACGGCGCCCTCCGCGCCGCCAGCCGGTCCTTCTCGATGGGCAACATGCCCCTGCCCGACCCGCGCACGCTCGGCCGCCTGCGCCACACCATCGCGCGCCAGGCGCAGGGCACGCCCCTGGAAGACGTCGTGGGCGTGCTGCTGGAATCCGGGCGGACGCTCCCGGCCGACGTCCTGCTGAGCGACGAGCGGCGCGTCCGCCTGCGGAAGCTCTCGCTCCGCGACGACGGGTCGATCGACCTGACGCTCGCGACGATGCGCGACGAGTGAGCCGGATCGGTTGATTTTCAGTGCAGCTTCTTGACGATCTCGCGCGCCACGGCCTCGTGGAGCACGCGGACCGTCGCGGTGCCGTCGTTGCGCGCCTCGATGATGAGCGGCGCGTCCGAGGCGACGACCGTGAGGCACTCTTCGGGCTTGTCGCCGTGCTCGTTGATCGCCCGCACCATCGTCTGCACGATGTGGAAGCGGTCCGGCAGCAGCGCGAGCGGGTCGTGGCCGTTCATGTGCAGCGCCGCCTCGGCGTCGATGTCCTGCCACAGCTCGTCCGCCGCCAGCTCGAACGCGGCGAGGTCGAGCACGAACCGCCACGGGCCGACGGGGATGACCGCCGCCTCCGCGACGCCGCTCGCGTGGAGCACGTCCTCGATGCGCTGGGCGAGGTCCTCGGGCGAGACCTTGTAGCCGATGGCTCGCTCGCCGTCGGCGCCGCCCAGCTCGATGGCCCAGGCTTCGGCGTCCTCGTCCTCGGACTCGATATCGAAGCGGACGAGGGTGATCTCGTCGTCCTTCTCCTCGGTGCGCGCGACAGTCCCGTGCTCGCCCACGGCCTTGAGAAAGATTTCGTACCGGAAAAACTCCACGCGTGGTGGTCCTTGTGACAAAGGCGTCGCCCCCGGGCGACTCGTGCTCCATTACAATACCCGAGGCGATTTTCGTTGCAACCGCGAACCGATGGGCGGGCCATGAGAAGCATCCTTTTTGTCTGCAGCGGCAACACCTGCCGGTCCCCCATGGCCGAGGCGATCGCGCGCCACGTCGCCTCCAAGCACCCGTTCGATTCCCTCGAATTCGCCTTCGCCTCGGCCGGCTCCGCCGCCATCGAGGGCCTCCCCGTGACCCCCGAGGCCGTCACCTCGGTGACCGCGCTGGGCATGCCGATGCACGAGCACCGCTCCCGCTCGCTCACCAAAGAAATCATCGCGGAAGCGGACGCCATTTACGGGCTCACCCCCTCGCACGTCGCCGCGGTCCGCGCCATCGACCCCACCGCCGCCGACCGCACCGACCTGCTCGACCCCGAGGGCCGGCCCGTGCCCGACCCCATCGGGCACTCGCAGAAGGTGTACGACGAGACGGCGCACGCGATCCAGCGTGCCGTGGTCGACCGCCTGAGCGAATACCTCGCGGCGACTCGCCAGTCCTGATTCCAGATTCAGATCCCGAGATTCTGCGCCACCGCCTCGATGCGCTGGACGCACTCCGCGCACGTCTCGTACCCCTCGGTGGCGCGGAGACGCGTGATCTCGCGCGTGATGACGGCGGTGCGCTGGCCGTCCGCGTTCTGCCTCTCAAGGATCTCGAGCATGCGGGCCCAGGCGTACCAGTGGTGCTCGTCGGTGGCGGCCTCCGTTCCGGTCGAGCCCGCGAGGACGCGCAGCATCTGGAACGCGCCGGCGTCGTCGCCCAGAGCGATCCGCGACTCGGCCTCCAGTCGCAGCCGGTTGGGCGAGGGGCTGTAGTCGACCTTGATCCGCAGCGCCGCCTCGAGCGCCGCCTTGTGCTCGCCCGAGAGCAGGCGGGCGGTGACGAGTCCCGTGCGCGCGATCTCCACCATGCCGCGCTCGCCCGAGCGCTCCCCCCACTCCGCAAGAGTCTCGAGCAGGTCCGCCTCCGCGCCGAGCGGTGATTCCGTGCCCGCGACGAAGAGCGTCCCGGGGTCGACGCGATCGCGGAGCGCCGTCGCGACGCCGTACATCGCGGGCGCCGTGATCCGCGTGTGCGAGACCGCGCCGAGCGTTTCGACGACGGAGGCGAGCGCCGCCGTATCGTCCGGGCTCGCTTCGAGCAGCGCCCCGGCGCAGAGCACCTGCAAATGGACGCTATCGACCGCCCGGGCCGCGTCCCACATCTCCCGCGCCGCGTCTCGAGCCAGATCGTGTCGCTCCAGGGTGAGCAGCGCGAGGGTCTTCTGCTGGAGAGCCGTGGCGCGCTGCTCCGGGGCGTCCGTGCGCTCCGCTGCCTCCGCGAGCGCGAGCCACGCCGAGGCGTCGGCCGCCGAGCGCGTCCGCTCGTAGAGCCGCCCGCCGATATCGGCCGCGGCGAGCGCGCTGATCGGGTCCGGCTCCCCGTCCGGTCCGCGCTCGCCCAGGACACCGATCGCCTCGCGCAGGTCGTCCTCGTCGCCCGACTCCGCGAGCGCGAGCCCGAGCGCGCGACGCCACGCGACCAGGTCGCGCCCGGTATTGCGATCGTGCGCGATCCGGAGCGCGTCGATCGCTCGCTCGCGATCCTCCGCGGTCGGGGACATGCGGAGTGAGGCCGTCGCCGCGGTGCACGCGAGGTCCAGCGCGTCGGTGCGCGAGGGGTCTCGCCGCGCGAGATCCCCCGCGATCTGCGCCGCGTCGGCCAGGCGCTCGGGCGTGCCGATCATCGCGAGCGCCCGGGCGAGTTCCCAGGCGATCAGCCCGTGCGGCGCGGAGCCCGGCTCGGTCTCGCTCAACGCCTCCCGCGCGAGCACCACGCCCTCGTCGCGTGTGCTCTCTGAATCCATGAGATCGAACGCGAGACCCGCCTTCGCGATCGGCGGCAGGAGCGGTCGCTCCATCCAGTCCTCGACCGCCTCGGACGCCTGCGCGCTCGCGAGCCGCCACGCGTCCGCCTCGGTGAGCGATCCCCCCGCGAGCTGCGCGGCGAGGCGCTCGTGGTGCGCGAACGCGTCGCGGACGATGCGTCCCCGGTCCGAGCGCGTCTTCTCCTGCGCCGCACGAGCCGCCTGGATCGCGAAGCGAACGTCCGCGAGCACCACCGCCAGCGCCGGGTCGGGCGGGCCGAGCGTCTCGAAGGGCGGCGCATCGGTCAGGGCGTTCTGCGCCGTCTGGGCGGCGGACCAGCCGCGCCCCTCGAGGGTCGCTCGGACGAGCCCGAGGATCACCGCCGGCGCAAACTCGCGCGCGAGCGGGTCTGACGGGTCGCGGTCGCTCAACGCTACGCGGGCGCCGTCGAATCGCCGGATCGCGGCGAGCGTGTCCCCCCCGAGCAGCGCGGCGATGCCACGGAGCGTGGCCGTCTCGAGGTCGATCCAGGGCGAGGTCGCCCGCACGTCCGCGAGCGCCGATGTCGCCCGCTCGATCATCGCACGACGCTCGGCGGCGTCCGGCGTCGCGCCCGCGACGAGCAGCGCCGCCCGAGCCACGCGGATGGGCAGCTGCCCGGCGTTCGCGGTGATCAGCTCGTCGCGCAGCTCGCTCTCGCCCACGCCCGCGCGGTCGGCGCGCTCCACCGCCTCCGCGATCATCGCGCGCGCCCGGGTCGCGCTCGCGAGCAGCTCCCCGCCTTGCTCGATCACGAGCGCCCGCTCGGCGTCCGACGGGATGCCGAAGAGCACCGCCAGGTCCGCGCCCGTGCGCTCCAGCTCGCGGATACCCGTCTCGATGCCATCGATCAGCCGCTCCGCGTCCGCGAACCCCTCGACCCGGGTCGCGGGAGCGTCCTGCGCCTTCGCCGCCGCCGGCGGGGCGAGGAGGATCGCGAGAGCGAGGGCCGCGGCACGCATCAGTTCGATCCCGCCGCGCTCGGCGGCGCGAACCGCACCTTCTCGAACTCCGCCCGCTGCAGCGCGTTGAACACGCCCATCACGTGCTCCCAGCGGGAGCCCGGGGCGGCGTCGATGATAAAGCTCTGGTCCGGCGCGAAGGCGGCGCCGCGGCGCGTGCGTACTTCTTCGTACAGCGATTCGTAGCTGGTGAGCGCGCCGATGAGCGGGGAATCCGTCGTGATCGCGTACTCGCCCGCGCCGTCGCCGAAGCTCCGCACGCGGACGCGCACGGGGCGCGTCGGCAGGTCGAACGGGTCCGCCTGCTGCGCCGCCTGCTGCTCGGTGACCGCCATCGCGAACGCCTCTTCGCGCGGCGAGAACTCCGTGATGAGCAGGAAGTAGATGAGCAGCAGGAAGACGACGTCGATCATCGTCGAGACGTTGAGCCCGAGCGGGGTGCTCTGCTGCGAACTGACCCGCGTGCGCCGGCTCACGACCCGTTCTCCCACGGGCGGATCACGAGGCGCACCGTGCCGATGCCCGCGGCCCGGACCGCCTCGAGCGCGGGGTGGACGCGTTGGTAGCTCTCCGTGCGGTCCGCGCGGACGTGCACCTGCACGCCCGGGTTCCGCGCGTACGCCTGGACGATCGCGGTGGACAGCTCGCTCGCGCCGCGCTCCGTCGCGTCGAACGTGAGCGTGCCCAGTCGGTAGGCGTCCTCGGGCGACTCGCCCGGCGTGATGTTCACGACGAGGCGCGTCTCCTCACCGATGCGCGCCGACGCGGCGTGCTCGATCTCGGGCGGGTCGAGATCCACGATCTGCGTGCGGCTGATCTGCGCCACGAGCATGAAGAAGATCACGAGCAGGAAGACCACGTCGATCATGGGCGTGAGGTTCGCCCGGACGTGCGCCGGCTCGAGATTGCGGACGGATTTCATCAGGCGCTCCCGGACGCCGCGCTCTCGATCGCCGCACCACGGGGGATGCCGCGGTTCTCGCGGCGTGCGCCCGCCGCCTCGCCCTCCGGCGCGTCGCGGAGCGTGTTCACCAGCGCCTCGGCCTGGCGGCTCGCCTCGACGGTGAGCATCTCGACGCGGTTGCGCAGGAACGCGTACCCCGCGAGCGCGGGGATCGCGACGACGAGGCCCCAGAACGTGGTCGTCAGCGCGGTGCCGATGCCGGCGGCGAGGCCGACGGGGTCCGGCGTGCCCCCCGAGGCGACGATCTCGCCGAAGGCGAGGATCATGCCGTAGACGGTGCCGAAGAGGCCGATCATCGGCGCGACGTTGCCGATGATGTTGAGCGGCTCGATGCGTCGGAGGCGGCGGATGGTGTGGTCGTCGGAGGCCTGCTCGCACGCGCGGATCATCGCGGTGTGGCCGTGGGCGCTCTCGGAGAGCGCGCCGAAGAGGACCTTGGCGAAGTACGTCCCGTCGGCCTCGAGGGTGTCCATCAGCTCCTCGTACCGCCCCTCTTTGAGCAGGTAGCCGGCGCGCTGGACGGTCTCGGCGGGGGCGATGTGCTTCTCGCGGGCGCCCATCGCCATCGCGCCGAGCAGCCCCAGGCTCGCGGCGCTGAGCGCGAGCAGGAACCAGATGATGAGCGAGCCGAACAGCTCCAGCTCGCCCGTTTCGGGGTGGCGCTGGATGAGGAACGCCTCGGCGAGCGAGGTCTCGGCCGGGGCGCGACGGGGCTCGGCCTGCGTCGCGACGGACTCCGAGGGGTCGAGCTCGAAGGGATCGGTCTGCGCACCCGCGGGCGCTGCGAACAGGATCATGGCGATCCAGAGGATCGGGCGGATGCGCATGCGTGCTATCTCCTTCGCGCGTTGAGCTCCTCGCGAGTGAGCAGCTTATACGCGTTGCCCCCTCCAGTCAGCCCCCGGGGGCCGCCCCGGCTCCCGTGCTCGGCGCCGACGGCCTCGAGCACGCCCTTCGGGTCCGCGTCGAGGAACTGGATGCCGTTGATCACCACCGCGCGATTCCCCTCCGATCCGACGCGCGGGTTGAGCTCGTTCAGCTCCGCGAGCAGCGCGCCCTTGTCCGGGTCCGTCGCGATGCCGGTGAAGCGTGCGAGGAAAAAGACCGCGTCCGGCTTGAACTGGAACGCGATGCGGATCGCCTCGAGCGGGTCGCCCTTGCCCCGCGGGCCGATCGTGGTGAACCAGTCCTCGATGAAGCGCACGTTCTCGCGCGTCGCGCGGATCAGGCGGTGGGAGCGCTCGTCGTCCGTCGGGTGGCTCGCGCGGACGTACCCGCGCCCAGTGCCGGCCGCGTCGTCGAGAAAAAAGATCACCTGGAACTGCTGCGTCGGCGCCAGCTGACCGATCGAGCGCTTCAGCTCCTCGATCAGGAAGGGCCACGTCGAGCGCAGCGAGCCCGACGCGTCCACGACGTACACAATCCGCTCCGCGTTGGACGCGCCCGTCCCCGCGAAGCGCACCTCCGGAAAACGGCGCTCGTTCATGAGCGATTCGCGCTCGATCGGCGTCGTCGTCCGCTCCACCACGACTTGCTGTTGGGCGTCGTCCAGGTCGCGCAAAAGCTCCGCGAGCGTCACTTCGGGCTCGACCTCGATGGGCTCCGGCTCGAGCTCGAGCGGCTCGGAGGTGAACTCGACCGGCTCGTCGCTCGCGAGCTCGGAAATCGGCGCCAGGCCCGGGTCGTCGAAGCTGGCGATCGCCGGGGTGACGTTCTCGTCACCCGGCGAGACGGTCCAGACGATAAAGAACGCGAGCACCACCACGAGCGCGTGGACGAGGAACGAGGCGAGCCACGCGCTCCGCGGCGCGATCTCCGACTCCGCGCCGGGCGTGCGCCGGTTCGGCTCATCCGGCGCGCCCGTCACGAGTCGTCGCCGTCGCCCTTGCCGGATTTCCTCCCGGCCATACGCTGGTCGAACGAGAGCCACCCCGCGCCGGTGAAGACGAGCGCCAGGGCGATCACGCCCGTCGTGAGCTGGAAGAACATCGTCTGCCACGCCGCGACCCAGGCGTCCGGATTCTGGAACTGCGGGTCGGGGAGGAAGCCCCAGAAGGCGTCGCCCGAGACGGCCGCGGGGCCGATGGTCGTGAGCAGCAGGGCGTTGGCCATCACGCCGGCGAGCGCGAGCGACGCGAGACGCGTCAGCAGCCCGAAGACCACGAAGATGCCCGCGACGAACTCGACGATGGCCGCGGCCCAGGGCACGTACTGGAGCATCATGTTGCTGGCGAGGAACTCGGGCCAGAGGGGCGTGCCGTCCGGGCCGGGGTTGGCTCGGGCGTTGAGGAGCAGCGCGAGGCTGTAGAGCCGGCGCGCCTCGGCGCCGTCCGGGAAATCGTCCGCGGTGTAGGTCACGCTCGGCGCGGCGGGGGCGTCGTCGGGCTCTTCGAGCGTTTCGCCCCCGTTCTGCGCGAGGATGACGGTGGGAGCGTGGGTCAGCGCCGCGGAGGCGGCCGTGCCGGCGGGCTGCGTGGAGTTCTCGATCTCGTCGAGCCCGCGCTCCATGGGGGTCTGGGGCTCGGGATCGGGCACGGGCTCGGCGCCGACGGCGTCGTTGAGGTCGATGATGCCCAGGCTCGCGAGCGTGGCGGCCTGCTCGGGGGCGTAGACGTCCTTGACGAAGAGCTTGGACGAGCCCGCCCAGATGAAGACGGCCCCGAGCACGAGGCGGAGCATGAGGGGGGCGAGGCCGAGGCCGAGGCGTTGTGAAGCGGTCATCCGATGAGTCCTCCCGGGGCGAAGTGTGGCGTCACCCGGTTGTTGGCCGAATCCGTGGCGTGCTTGCATTCTACACGCGTGAGGGGCGTTCCCTGTTCGGCGCAGGGGTACACTCTGCCAAGACGCGCGGGCGTGGCGGAACTGGTAGACGCACGGGATTTAGGTTCCCGTGTCCGCAAGGACGTGCAGGTTCGAGTCCTGTCGCCCGCATTGGAATCGGCACGAACCGGGGTCGGCGAGCCAAAACGGCTCTCACGGCCCGGAAACGGCCCCCAATTCCTCATCGAAATCGATGAATCGATGCACCATTTCCCCAGCACCTGACGTATAAGGGAGCGATGCGTTCTCGTGGGCAAGGACGAGGGGAGTGTCCGTCCCGCACGTCCGAGAACGGTGAAATTCCGTGAAGGATCACGGTTCCACGTGGAATCCGTTGATTCGCTTTCCGTTTGGGAGCACCGTATCGCAGAGCGCGTCGGGAGTGTCCGTCCGACGAGACTCGAACGCATCACGATCCGGTGGCCGCAGAACTACAGAACTGGAGAACCGAAGAATGAAGACCCGTATCACCCTCATGTCGGCGGCGCTGCTCGCGCTGTGCGCCGGCGGCGTCGCCTCGGGGCAGGCCGATGTTCGTGCTCTCGACAGCGTCGCGGCCGACAACGCCATGAACGCCCTCACCGCCCTCCACCCCGGCGTCCGCCGCAACACGTCCGGCCTGGACAAGTTCGTCAACACGCAGCTCTGGGGCCAGCGGATGACGACGTCGGCCCTCTCCCCCGACGACGCGGCGCAGAAGTTCATCACGCGTCACGCCGACGCCATGGGCGTCCGGAACCTCGAGCTCGTCGAGACCAAGCGCCTCGAGTCGAGCACCAACGCCAACGTGGTCTTCCATTACCAGCAGTACTACGGCGGCCTGCCCGTCGAGGGCACGCACGCCCGTCTCATCGTGAAGCAGGGCGCCGAGAACGCCGTGGTCTACGCCGGCGGCAAGCTCGCGCCGGAGCCCGCGGGCGGGTTCGACCTCAACGACGCGATCACCTCCGACGAGGCGATGGAGCGCGTCCAGCTCGACATCGCGTTCAAGGGCCTCCCGATCTGGCACGACGCCGAGATGGTCGCGTACTACAACGAGGCCGCCGGCGAGACGACGCTCGCGTGGGCGTTCATGGGCGGCACGCCCTCGACCGCCCCGCAGGCCCGCGCGTTCCACTTCTTCGTCGACGCCTTCACCGCCGAGATCCTCGAGGCGCGGAACATCATCTACAACGAGGACGTCCCCATGACCGTCACCGGCCTGGGCACCCCCGGCGCCGGCGCGGACACCGCGTCCAACCCGCCCGTGTCGATGCCGGTCCGCGGCCTCATCCTCGAGAACAACTCGACGGGCGAGTCCGCCGTGACGGACGAGAACGGCATGACCAGCGTCCCCAACACCGGCGGCCCCGGCTCCCCGAACATCTCCGGCTCGTTCAACGACGGCGTCTGGCTCAACATCAACGACGAGTCCGGCACGCCCGTGCTCTTCGAGAGCGGCAACTTCGCCGACGGCGTCGGCGGCACGCTCGAGTTCGGCAACCCGGCCAACGAGCTGGTCACGGCCCAGGTCAACGCGTTCATCCACACGAACCTGATCCACGACTTCATGAACCAGTACGCGCCGGGCCTCACGGGCATCAACCAGCAGCTCACGACCAACGTGAACATCAACAGCTCGTGCAACGCCTCGTTCTCCCCCTTCGAGCTCTCGATCAACTTCTTCACCTCCGGCATAGATCCCTTCTCCGGGCTCGAGTGCAACAACACCTCGTTCAGCTCCGTTGTGGCGCACGAGTACGGCCACTTCATCGTCAACCGCCTGGGCCTCGCCCAGGCGCAGTTCGGCGAGGGCTACGGCGACGCCTGCTCGATCCTGCTCTACGACGAGCCGCTCATCGGCATCGACTTCCGCGTCGACGGCGGCGTCGTTCGCGACCCGCTCGCCGCCGACCTCCAGTTCCCCTGCTCCGGCGGCGCCTCGGTCCACTTCTGCGGCCAGGTCCTCGGCGCGCTCTGGATCGAGATCCGCGACTTCTTCGGCGACACCTACGGCGACGCCGCCGGCCTCGAAGAGGCCCGCATCCTCTTCGGCAACTGGTCCCTCATCACGGGCGGCGGCCAGGGCGACCAGGCCGTCCATCCCGCCACCGCCATCGAGCTCCTCGTCGCCGACGACGACGACGGCAACATCGAGAACGGCACCCCCAACTACGCCGATATCTGCATGGCGCTGAACAACCGCGGCGTCGATTGCCCCGAGCTCGCCCTGCTCTCGATCAGCTTCGACGACGAGCAGACCTTCCTCCCCGCGAACCAGGCCACCAAGGTCGAGATCGACATCGAAGAGGTCGCCGGCACCCTCGTGCCGGGCACCCCGATGCTCCACGTCTCCGTCGACGGCGGCCCCTTCTCCGTCTCCGCGATGTCCGAGGTCTCCCCCGGCGTCTACTCCGGCACCATCCCCGCCGCGACCTGCACCTCCACCGTCGACTACTACTTCTCCGCCGAGGACATCTCGGGCGAGCTCGTCACCAACCCGGCCGACGCGCCGTCCACGACCTTCTCCGCCATCGCGGCCGAGAGCGTCGAGACGCCCTTCCTCACCGAGTTCGAGGTCGACGCCGCGGGCTTCACCGCGGGCGTCGCGGGCGACACCGCCACCACCGGCGTCTGGGAGCTGGGCGATCCGGTCGGCACCGTCGCGCAGCCCGAGAACGACAACACGCCCGATCCCGGCGTGAACTGCTTCTTCACCGGCAACGCCAACCCGGGCGACGGCCAGGGCACCAACGACGTCGATGGCGGCTTCACGACGCTCCTCTCCCCGGAGATCGACCTCTCCGCCTACGAGAGCGCCACCATCAGCTACTTCCGCTGGTACGCCAACGACACCGGCGACAGCCCCAACGCGGACACCTTCCGCGTCGACATCCGCGAGCCGGGCGGCGCGTGGACGTCCGTCGAGGTTGTCGGCCCCGCCGGCCCCGAGACCTCGGGCGGCTGGTTCCGCCACGAGTTCAGCGTGGGGGAACTCGTCACCCTCCCCGCGACCGTGCAGCTCCGCTTCATCGCGGAAGACGGCGGCCCCGGCTCCATCGTCGAGGCGGCGATCGACGACGTCACCGTCACCGGCGTCTCCTGCGTCCCCGTCGTCGGCGACTGCGTCGGCGACTGCGACGGCTCCGGCACGGTCGACTTCAACGACCTCGTCGCGATGCTCTTCCTCTTCGGCCAGGACTCCGGCGTCGGCTGCGACGCGGACGATTCCGGGAACGTTGATTTCAACGACCTGGTCGCCACGCTCTTCGTTTTCGGGCCCTGCCCCGAGTAATCGGAACCGCTGACGAGTGACCCCACCTTCACGATGGGGGAAATCTCGACGTCCGTACGACTTATCGCGTACCGCCTGACCGCGGTGCGCGATATTCTTTGGCTCGATGAGCATCGAGTCCTCCAACCCGCTCCCGATCCACATCGCCCGCGCCTACGGCCTCACCCCCGCCGCGCGGAAGGCGCCCGTGCCCGTCGAGGAGGCCCGCGAGTCCCTCGAAGCGCAGCGCCTCGAGATCCGGCGCGAGCTGACGAACTCCCAGCGCAACATCTCCCGCCTCATCGCCGGCGTCGTCCCGGGCGGCATCGATTTCTCCGGCGACCAGCCGCTCCCCACCGACCGCGCGTCCATCCCGTTCTACCGCCACCCCGCCGACCGCAACGCCGCGGCGACGGACGTGAGCCGCGGACGACGCCTCGACGTCACCGGCTAACCCCCCGGAAGCATTCATCCCCGTGTCAGCGTCGCACCATTTCCGAGATCGGTGGACGATCGACCCGTCCGTGCGCTACCTCAACCACGGCTCCTTCGGCGCGTGCCCGCGCGAGGTGCTCGAGTTCCAGGCCGACCTCCGCGCCCGCATGGAGCGCCAGCTCGTCCGCTTCTTCGTGAGCGACCTCGAGGGAATGCTCGACGACGCGCTCGCGCACCTCGGCGCGTTCCTCGGCGCCAACCCGGATGACCTCGCCTTCGTCCCCAACGCCACCGCCGGCGTCAACGCCGTGCTCCGCTCGCTCGAATTCAACGCCGGCGACGAGCTGCTCACGACCAACCACGAGTACAACGCCGTCGCGAACACGATGCGCTACGCCGCGAAGCGCGCGGGCGCGAGCGTCGTCATCGCGGAGATCCCGGTCCCCGTGCGCACGGAGGACGAGCTGGTCGAGGGCGTCCTCGCGCGCGTGACGGTGAAAACGCGCCTCGCGGTGCTCAGCCACGTCACGAGCCCGAGCGCGATCGTCTTCCCGATGGCGCGCATCGTGAAAGAACTCGAAGCGCGCGGCATCGACACCCTCGTGGACGGCGCGCACGCGCCGGGGATGATCGAGCTGGACCTCGATTCCATCGGGGCCGCGTATTCGACCGGGAACTGCCACAAGTGGATGTGCGCCCCCAAGGGCGCGGCCTACCTCCACGTCCGGCGCGACAAGCAGGAGGGCATCGTCCCCGTGAGCGTCTCGCACGCGTACAACTCCGTGCGCACGGACCGCTCGATGTTCCGCCAGCTCTTCGGCTGGACCGGCACGGACGACCCCACGCCCTGCCTGACGGTCCCGAAGGCGATCGAGGTCATGGGCAAGATGCTCCCGGGCGGGTGGCCCGCCGTGCGCGCGCACAACCGCGAACTCGCAACGAACGGCGCGAAACTCATCGCCGAACGCCTGGGCGCGACGCTCGTCGCGCCGCCGGAGCTGTGCGGGTCCATCGCAACCTTCACGATCCCGGATTCGGACGGCCCGCCGTCCATCTCCGCCCTCTTCGCGGACCCGCTCCACGACCGCCTGCGCGACGGGTTCGGCATCGAGGTCCCCGTCATCCCCTGGCCGGCGCACCCGAAACGCGTCATGCGCGTCTCCGGGCAGCTCTACAACGACCCGAGCGACTACGAGGCCCTCGCGGACGCCCTCGCCTCGATCTTCGGGCGCTGACGCTCTACCCTTGTGGTCCCCATGGCCCGCACGCGCACCAAAGAGATCGAACGCCCGGAAGACCTCGCACCCCCGCCCGTGCGCCTGGGCGGGGTCATCGGCCACGAGCGCGCCCTGGGCGTCCTGCGCGCCGCCGTCGCGTCCGACCGCGTGCACCACGCGTGGATCTTCGCCGGGCCAAAGGGCGTCGGGAAGTACACCACCGCCGTCGCCTTCTGCGCGATGCTCCTCGACGAGACCACCGCGCCGGACCTGACGGGCAACCTCGCCCCGGACCCCGAGAGCCCGACGCAGAAGCTCATCGACCACCACGCCCACCCGGACCTGCACGTTATCAACAAGGAACTCAGCGCGCACTCCGAGGATTCGCAGACCCGCAAGAGCAAGCAGATCACCATCCCGAAGAAGGTGGTGGACGAGTTCCTGCTGGAACCGATTTCACTGGCGCCGACCAGAGCTTCCGGGGGGCGGGTGACCAAGGCGTTCATCATCGACGAGGCGGAGCTGATGGACCGCAGCGCGACGAACGCGCCGGTGCAGAACTCGATCCTCAAGACGCTCGAGGAGCCGCCGGACGGCGCGCTGATCATCCTCGTCACGTCGAGCGAGGAGCGACTCCTCCCGACGATCCGCTCGCGCTGCCAGCGCGTCGCCTTCACCACGCTCTCCGATCCGGAGATGGACGAGTGGTTCGCCCGCCACGCGACCGAGGCGGACGCGCACGAGCTTGCGTGGGTCAAGGCCTTCGCGGACGGCTCGCCCGGTCGCGCCGAGCTGGCCCTCTCGACGAACCTCTACCAGTGGGCGATGGAGCTCGAGCCCCTCCTCGACGAGCTGGACGCCGGCCGCTTCGAGCCCAAGCTCCCGGGCGTGATGACCAACCTCATCAAGGAGTGGGCCGAGGGCTGGGTGAAGGCCCACCCCAGCGCCTCCAAAGAAGCCGCCAACCACGCGGCCGCGGGGCACCTGTTCACGATCCTGAGCCAGCGCTCCCGGCGGGCCCTCCGCGACCTCGCCTCGCACCGGGGAGACGACCCGGACGCCTTCGAGCGCGAGCTGACCCGCATCGACACCATCCGCGCGGCCGAGGGGCACGTGCGGGCGAATGTGAATATGCAGATCGTGATGGAGCATCTGGCGGCGGAGCTGGCGTAGAGGCGACCTCTACTGAATGACTTGCTGCACCGCTTCGAGGAGCGCCACTTTGTCTTGCCGCTTCTTTATTGCAGGATCGATGATTTGCAAGTACTCGATCGCTTGAAACCCATCACCACGCTTTCGATTCTGCCTTGGTTCAAGCCCTTCGATCAGCAACGCTTCCATAGTCGTAATCAGATTTGTGATACTGAAATTCGGCTGGGCATTTGTATCCAGCGACCCATCTTCACGAACAGGGTAAACCCCGAACCACGAGAACCTGTCCCACCGCCCGTTCAATCGATTCATCGTGTGTTCTTTGATCCGTGCCCCAAAGGACTGATCTGTCGTTCGGCCGACATATACGACTTCTCGTCTGTCATGGAGAAGGTAGACGCCGTGTTGGGATGAAAAATCTACTTCTGTACTTCCGATTTGCTGGCAGCCAAGCAATCTGGGTTTTTCCCAAAGCACCTTGGTCCGATCCCAGTACATGCCAAATGCATTGATCAGTCCCGTCTCTGCTTCTTGCTCTTCTGGAGCAGTTTGTGCTTCTTCTCTCTGTTTCTCGAACGTACGTTGATCTCGACGAAGCCTGTAGTGACCGCGAGACACACGCTCGTAGGGTGATTTACTTCCAAGTTCTTTGATCGAAACACTGATTTGAGCGTTGATGGACGAGGCAGGTGTAGCACCAACGTCTTGCTTCAATCCAAGTTCTGCGATTCGCTCGGCAATCTCGGTGTAGTGAAGCGGTTCGCGTTCCGCCTCCAAGACACGCTGAATTGCATCTCGCCAACTCAAATCAGACATTTCGATGCTCCTTCTCGGAATCTATGCCCACCAGATCGCCATCCTACTCCACCCGCCGCATCCTTCGACCCCCGCCCCCCGAACCCCTACAATGCCCGCTCACGCCCCTCAGAAAGGCCGAATCCCGCCATGCCCACGTGGACGCCCAAACTCGCCGAGCCCTCCCTCGTCAAACGCATCCCGACGTACCCCTTCGCCGACCCGAAGGACCGCCACATCGTCAAGTACGACGAGTACGTCAAGACGGGCGGGTACGAGGGCCTCCGCGCGGCGCTCGCGAAGAGCCCGGAGGACGTCGTCGCGGACGTGAAGAACTCCGAGCTCCGGGGTCGAGGCGGCGCGGGCTTCCCGACGGGTCTCAAGTGGACGTTCCTCCCCAAGCTCGACGACGTGAACAAGCCGGGGGACCGCTACCTCGCGATCAACGCCGACGAATCCGAGCCCGGCACCTTCAAGGACCGGCTCATCATGGATTTCGACCCGCACCTCATGCTCGAGGGCATCGCGATCTGCTGCTACGCCTGCCGGCTCACCCGCGCGTACATCTACATCCGCGGCGAGTACCACCACCAGGCCCACGTCGTCGAACAGGCCATCAAGGAGGCCTACGAGAACGGCGTCTTCGGCACCCAGGGCCTGCTCAACGGGACGAGCACCGCGACGGGCGAGAAGTACGCGGTCGAGTGCCACCTCCACCGCGGCGCCGGGGCGTACATCTGCGGCGAGGAGACGGCGCTGCTCGAATCGCTCGAGGGCAAGCGCGGCTGGCCGCGCGTCAAGCCGCCCTTCCCCGCGGTCAAGGGCCTCTTCGGCAAGCCGACGATCATCAACAACGTCGAGACCCTCGCCCACCTGCCGGACATGATGACCGAGGGTGTCGAGTGGTTTAAGGGGCTCGGGTGCGAATCGTCCATCGGCGGCCCGCCGAGCTTCGGTTCCAAGCTCATGGGCGTCTCGGGCCACGTGAACCGCCCGGGCGTCTACGAGTGCGACCTGGGCATCCCCCTGAGCACCCTCATCGAGGACCACTGCCAGGGCATGCGCGGGGGCAAGAAGTTCAAGGGCGCGATCGCCGGCGGCGTGAGCACGGGNNGACGCGCCGATGGATTTCGACATCGGCCGCAAATACAACGTGCTCGGTCTGGGCACCGCGTGCCCGACGGTGTTTGATGAAGACACGGACATGGTCTCCGTCGCGCGCAACATCGCGCGGTTCTTCAAGCACGA